TGGTCCTTGAGTTTGGAGAGGTCCACACAATGGAGGAGCTTGGCAAAAAATGGGGAGATGAGAGAGAAATATAGGAGATTTGGAAAGAAAAAAAAAATCAAAAAGAAGGTAGAAGATAAATAGGAAAACATAACTTAATTTAATATATTAATAACGTGGCTTGCCACATCATTGGTCCCAAAAATTCGTCCCATTTATTCGTCCTCTGTATCATTGTCCATTACTCAAATAGATAAATTCTTCATGGAGTTATTTGCTTCAATAAAATCTAGAGACTTAATCAAGAAGGTAGAATAAGTTCAAATGCTTAATATAAGGTTTTACCTTAGAAAAACTCATGAAAAAAGCAATCATAAAGAAAAAGGAAGAATAACCTTTTTATAACAATAACCATTTCATTGAGGAGTCAATTGATAGACGAAATATGCAAGTCATAATTAACAGAATAATAGTCTGGTGGCTAAATCGAAAAGAAGAACCAACTTTAGGGGCCTACCATTTAAAAAAGCATTGCCTCGTTGGCAGCCGGCATCCACGTGCTCCCAACCAAGGACAGACAAAATCTCACCCCCACCTCGTCTCTTTACTTAAAGTCCAAACTAATCTCTCTCCTTTCCTTGCCCTGCCCAGCCCTGCCCAGCCCTGCCCACTTCCAAGCCAAATCCTCGCACTCCCTTTATCCAATATTTTCCATCTTCTGCAAACCGTACCCAAAACCCTAATCCCCTCAGTAACTGGATGGGCGATCCGTTGGAAAGACTAGGATCAGAGACCGCCATGGGCCTTGAATCCACCATGAAGGAAGAACTCTGTATGGAGATCGATCCTCCCTTCCGTGAAAACGTTGCTACTGCCGAAGACTGGCGGAAAGCCCTCAACAAAGTCGTTCCTGCTGTCGTCGTCCTCCGCACCACTGCTTGCCGTGCCTTCGATACCGAGCCTGCCGGCGCCAGCTATGCCACCGGATTCGTTGTTGACAAGCGCCGCGGCATTGTCCTCACCAATCGGCATGTCGTCAAGCCAGGTCAATTGGAGCTTATTTCTTAACGCTTGTTTGGTTGCTGATAGAATGTGCTGAAAATTTTTTGCTTTCTTTTGTTGTGGATTCAAATGCAATAAACTGATCCATATTTTCTTGCTTCTTTTGAAGTGATCTAGGAGTGAAGCAGTTACTAGTATTGTGTTTTCTGTAATTTTCGGTTTTTATTAGCAGCAAAAAAAAAAAAACTAGAAAGAAGTTTGACTGCATTGAATTAGAACTTTAGAATATGAGAATAGCATTGTGAGAAAGAGGATTGCTCTGGAGACTAGCTGTTATGATTCCTGCTCCTAATTGTTATAAAGATGATTCATTCAATAATTCAATTCTACCAATTGCTGATTTCAATTGGAATTTTTGATAATGGAGTTAGTTTGATTTTTGCATATTCTTGCTATGTTGGTCTGGAGAGTATGCAAGTCGTTTTCTTTTTCTTTTTCTCCGAGATGGATAAAAACCAAAGATTATGTTATCTAGAGGTTGCAATCCTTAATGTTTCTTTTGTTTTATTTTATAACCGTGTTGTGATGTATTAAATGTCCTTCCTCTTCTCTTTTTGTAGGACCTGTTGTCGCTGAAGCTATGTTTGTAAATCGTGAAGAAATTACAGTACATCCTATATACAGAGATCCAGTGAGTGAACTTATGCCCGGTGTCAGTTTGAATTTTTCTTTTCGAACTTCTTTTTTTCTTTTTCTATTTTTTTTTAGTAATTTATCTTTGTATTCTGATTTCATGTCAATAATTCTTCATTGCATTCTTTTGAAATGTGTAGCAGAAGTAGGCTCCACTTCTATGTGTAGATGTTGCTAACATATTATGTATTTTCCTCTAGGTCCATGATTTTGGCTTCTTTCGTTTTAATCCTGACGCAATACAGTTTCTAAACTATGAGGAGATTCCGCTTGCCCCTGAGGCTGCTTGTGTTGGACTGGAAATCAGGGTTGTTGGTAATGATAGTGGGGAGAAGGTAAGTAAATCTAGTTTTTACTATTTGTTACTACCTTTTTTTTGATGATTAATATCTTATTATATAGGATTATAAAAAACCAGACACCAAATAGGTAATATGTCAAGTATTTAACTCTTTCTCAATTGTAATTTGGCAGAACTGTCTTGTTGTCAATTTAACATCGCTATTTTCTCTTCTTGATGTCATGACCGTTTAAGTTGTTGGTTTAGTATGTCAATGCCTGTCAACAATTTGTTTTAATTAGTTTGATAGCTTCTTTATTTTTCAAATCTTATTGCTCTTGTCTACAACTAATCTTACTCTGTCAACAGGATTATATGGCTTCTGCACCTTTTTTTTTTTTCCCCTTTAATGTTGGTTGGAATTTGCAGGTTTCAATATTGGCAGGTACTCTTGCTCGTTTGGATAGAGATGCTCCTCATTATAAAAAGTATGTAGTAGTTTTTTGCTTTGTGTTCTTTGCTTCAAGGGCAAAATACCTGTCCTTTTTTTTTGGAAAAAACATTAAAACATTTTCCTTTAGTATCTTGAATTATATTACTAAATACATGCTTTGGTTCTATTAAATGGCTTTGTTTTAATGATATTGACGTTGGACTGTTCTCAACTTCTCATTGATTTGCATGGTCATGATTTATGAGAATACGTTAATCATTGCATCCCAAGCGTAGAACAATTTTATGATTCCAAATTTATCTTGGCAACCTGCTGTCGTAGAATGATTCACCGTTTCCTTATCATTCTTCTAATGTAAAACCTTCTAGATGATTTAGATTGATTCTCATTTTTTTATTAAATATAAGCTGTATGAATAATACCATTGTTAGCATCATCCACAATTTGGTGTAAGATTTATAATATTTGTTCATATATGGTGCTTGATATGACTAATTTGATGCAGGGATGGTTATAAGGACTTCAACACATTCTACATGCAAGTATGTAGCCTGTCTTCATGCTTTCAATTTAATGCAAATTTTTATCAATTGATCAACTATTTTTTGGTGTATTTTGTGTCATTTCCTCCTATTAATCTCTTTGAAAGTAGCAGAATAATTTCTTTTTCTCTTTGAAA